GCAAAATGACAAGATAAAAAACTGTGCCCACTTAAACAATGTTTATCCACTTAACTAGCCACTTGACCCACGCAAAGAAAAAAGTAATGCGCTGCACAAAACTCCCTAACCCTTTTTCTTCCTCCATTTCTTTGTGTCAGCACTCTGAATTTTTGCATGCCTATCTCTTTCAGTACTGTTCAGGATGTTTTATGCTCTTGCAGTATACAGTCAGAGACATATGCTAAGGCTTTGAATTTAATTTATTAGAGTACATCTGTTTCGTAGTGTCAGTCTTCGTTCTGCCGACAGTCACATACTCAAGTTTTCTTCCTTTCTTTTCAGGACACTACTTGTACATGGAATCATCCGCCCCTCAGGCATCCGGCCAGAAGACCAGACTCCTCTCTCCGCCATACTCGCCAGAAAATATGATCAACATGTGCCTGGAATTTTACTATCACATGAATGGACCAGATGGAGTTGGTGGTGAGCTGCTCTTTGTTCTTCTTTTTCTTCTTCTTCTTCTTCTTCTTCTTCTTCTTCTTCTTCTTCTTCTTCTTCTTCTTCTTCTTCTTCTTCTTCTTCTTCTTCTTCTTCTTATTATTATTATTATTATTATTATTATTATTATTATTATTTTTATTATTATTATTATTATTATTATTATTATTATTATTTTTTCTGCTGCTGCTTCGCGTTCGCAGGCTGAAAACTTTAGGCGAAAAGTACTGGCTGCTCTTAGACTTCTTCTGGACTTCTGGCGTTGTTCCTGGACTTGAAAGTTGAGTGCAGTTCTGTCTGGCTTATTCATTTGCAGACTACTGGTTCTCTGTCTCGTAGGCGTATGAACACCGACCTCGAGGGAAAGTTGAGCTTATTTAAGCTGGCCAAGCTTCAGGTTGTTGTTGGCGTTCGTGGGTTAGACGTTTCTAACGCTCTTTGTAATACTGAAGCGCCTGGTTCGATGGCAGCTACGGTTGATTCGGCAGCAGAGCCTCTTAGGTTAGTTTCGACAGTGATACCGAGAGCTAACCGTTCACCGAGTATTTGCAAACAACTAAACATAAAATGTGCCCAGAAAAACCACAACAGCCAAATGAGGTTGGTTCTGCAATGTCATGTAAAGGATACTCAACTAACTTTTAACTATTCTGTTATCTCTCTTTCTATTACCCCATTCTCCCACTCTGCCCCATTTCTTTGTGGACATTGTATGAATAGCATATGTGTGTACCTCATCGAATTGCATTGATATTGCTAACACTATGCCAGCATTACTGTGCCATCTGTTCTGTGTTGCAGAGGTTGGAGAGTTGGATGTTTACGTCAAGCCTCTCACACAAAAGACTGCTATGCTAGACCCGTCTCAGAGAATTTTCCACCAGGAAGGCAACCATGGCGACCAGTGGCTGTCAGCTATAGTACAGCTTCCCTACCTGGCAGAGACTTTTCAGGTAAATATGTCGTACATCTGTGGGTATGTGGGTGTTTGTGGATGTCTCCGTGAGTGCATGCATTACATGTACTTTTATAAAGTACAAAGCAATTACCCGTGCGAGTGTTTTCAGAGGAAGAAGAGAAGATGAGGAGGAGGAGAGGAAGCGACAGTAACGGTGAGGAGGTGGGAAGGAGAAGAGAAAGACAAAGAAAAGAAATATAATAAATTGAAGAGAAGAAGCAGAAAAAAGAAGAAGAAGACGACTGAAGAAGAAGAAGAAGAATGAAAAGAAGAAGAAGAAGAAGAAAGAAGAAGAGAGAAGAAGAAGAAGAAGAAGAAGAAGAAGAGAGGAGGAGGAGAAGAAAGAAGAAGAAGAAGGAAGAAGAAGAAGAAGAAGAAAAGAAGAAGAAGAAGGAAGAAGAAGAAAAGAAGAAGAAGAAGAAGAAGAAGAAGAAGAAGAAGAAGAAGAAGAAGAAGAAGAAGAAGAAGAAGAGAAGAAGAAAGAAGAAGAAGTAGAAGAAGAAGAAGAAGAAAGAAGAAGAAGAAGAAGAAGAAGAAGAAGAGAAGAAAGAAGAAGAAGAAAGAAGAAGAAGAAGAATAGAAGAAGAAGAAGAAGAAGAAGAAGCAGAAGAAGAAGAAGAGAAGAAGAAGAAGAAGAAAGAAGAAGAGAAGAAGAAGAAGAAGAAGAAGAAGAAGAAGAAAGAAGAAGAAGAAGAAAAGAAGAAGAGAGAAGAAGAAAGAAGAAGAAGAAGAAGAAGAAGAAGAAGAAGAAGAAGAAGAAGAAGAAGAAAAGAAGAATAGAAGAGAAAGAAGAAAGAAGAAGAGAAGAAGAAGAAGAAGAAGAAGAAGAAGAAGAAGAAGAAGAAGAAGAAGAAGAAGAAGAAGAAGAAGAAGAAGAAGAAGAAAAAGAAGAGGAAGAAGAAGAAGGAAGAGGAGCAGATGCACCAAAAGAAAGAGGAGGGGGAGTTCGAGTGGGGAAAGGGGAAAGTGGTATAAGTAGATTAGGAGAATAATATGAAATATTATTGATGTAGTTATTATGCTTACCTCTGATATTCTGTATGCACAGATTGTTATCCAAGCCACACGCTTGAAAAGCTGGTCCGCAGACATCGCTATAGATGACGTCAGACTCCACAACTGTGTCGAAGGTATACTACACAACATAGTCTTTTTTTCTCTTCTGTTCTTCCGCTTACCATTTGTGCAATTCCTGGAGAGGGGATTGGGGAGGGGGGAAAGGGGGGGGGGGGGTTGGCAGTATGGTGTAGTGGAGTTATGGAATAATGTTCTCCGTTTAAATTAATGAACTATCTAAGAATGTTTTTGCTGGTAAAGAAGTTGATGAGGATTTAGACATGGTGGTATGCATTTAGGAAAAGCAGTAAAATAGTACTAAAATGTTAGCGAGCTTGTTCTATTGTATGGCAGTGAATACTGGAATGTGAGCGAACAAATTAAGATGAATGGGAGGCAACTGAGATGTAGTTGTTGAGAAGAATGTTGCGAATACCTTGGACTGCTAAAATAAATAACATTGATTGCCAATGAAAGTAGAACATTATAAACAACAATGAGAAGGAGACAAACAAATTTCTAGTGTCATATGATGAGAAAAAGAGCACTAGAAAATATCGTGACGACTGAAAATGATCACTGGTAGAAGAGGCAGAGGCAGACCAAGAGAGTCAATGGTGGATAGCTTAAGGCATGGGGGAATATCATCAGTGGGATTGATCAAGAACACCAAAGACCGAGATCTGACGAGATTCATGACCTATGCCAGCTGGCAAGGCACTTGTTGATGATGATAATGATGAGTGTACACTGGTTAACATATATGTTAAACAATATTATGTTACAATATATTATATCATTATATATATATATATATATATATATATATATATATATATATATATATATATATGTGTGTGTGTGTGTGTGTGTGTGTGTGTGTGTGTTTCTCGGCCTCTAAAGGCGTCTGCATTGTGAAAGCTCCTCGTAATGTCGAAATGTTGGGTTCGATCCCAGCTGTGGATGATTTGGCAGCGGACCGCCTTGCGTTAATTTCGACAGGGGTGTCGGGAGTCCACCGTTCAGTAGCAGTGGCAAACTACGTAACGTAACATTTGTCTTCATAAACTCCAACAGCCAAAAAATTATGGGGTTGGTTGTTCTGCCGCGTCATGTAGGGACACGCAGCTAAGTTACAATTGTGCGTCTGTATGCCTAAAACCATACTTTAATTTTTATCATTAGAAACCACGACAAGCAGTGGTCCTGTTGATGGAGACGACGCTGATGAGGAGGACAACATTCAAGAATCACCGTTGCAGAAAACAGAAAGAAGACCGGTAGTAACAACAGCAAAAACAACTGAGTCCACATCAACAATGAGAACTACAATATTGCCAACAACATCAGCACTACCAACAACAAATGTTGTTACCACACCCTCAACTACTACGACGTTAACTTCGACAGTAACGCCAGCACAATCTACTAAGTCTGTAACAATGTCAAGCAGCAGAACCACATCACTGCGAACCACTACATCATCATCAAGTACACCAACTATACTAACAACCCTAACGTTGTCTATGACATCTACAACATCATCTAAGACAACCACAGCATCATCTACGTCAACATCAACGTCAACAACAATGTCAACAACAACGTCAACGACAACTTCAACTAGTCCAACAACTGCTACTGTGAAATTAACTACACCAGCAACAGTGACTGATACTACAGCAGCAGCTTCCACAGCAACAACAACAACAACAACAACAGCTTTATTACTACACCCGTTTTAACAACTGAAACGAGTTCAACGGCAACAAGAACTACAACCGAGAAATCAACACCAGAGTTAGCCACAAATCCCACAAGTGTCTTTCCTGGTCAAGCTACAGAGGACTCAGACGATTCTGTGTCAGCAGCCGAAGAACCTTCAACCAATGGCAGGCCGGACACGACAGATTCGTCAACTGCAAAAGCCCAAACTACATTTACCACAGATACAAAAGACACAGGCGACAATAATGGTATTGATAATAACAATTCGGACGTCTACGATTATGACAATGACAACCCGACCACTCCAGATGATAATGACCACACTGATGATAAGGTTGAAGATATCCAAGAGACCACAAAACGTGTATCTTCAGTAGACTACATTGATTATGATTCAGCAAGGGGAAGACTTGGGTGGAATTCGACGTTCAATACATCTGCAGGGCACAACGATTCTCAGCCTTCTGTTAATGACAACAACGATAGCAGCAATGAAAGTGAAAGAAGCAGGTCATCCCAAACAGACAAGGAAAAGAGCTCGAGCAACCACGACCTAGGCCACCGTGCAGTGAGCGCGAAGGACAGTCATGCCTCCAGTACTACAGAGGTGCTTCCTCTTATAATAGGAGTTGCTTCAGCTGTTGTCGTCGCTGCGATTGTTATTGCAGTTTTGGCTTATTTGTGGGCGAGAAACCAGCGACGAAAGCAGGAAAAGGAACAGGAGGACCAGATGAATATAATTACAGAATATGTTGAAACAAACTTGAGTACATAAAATAGGAATAGTTGGGAAAGTTTTCGAATCCTTCTTGTACTTTAAACAATGCAAATATATAAATATTCATAAATATGCAATTATTTTCGAAAAGACCTGTCAGTGTTTGACATAAAATATAGTTTTCAGAATACAAAATCTGCTAAAGTGCAAGTACAGTGAAATCTCATCCTACACTGTGTTTTACTTTTGCAATGTCAACATCCTCTCATCGCCTTAATTAGGTCTTTGTCTACGTGGCAACTTATGTCTATGCTTCCGCGCATGAAGCCAGATTTCATTAGGAAGAAACATGTTGACATTTGCTTGATGGGCTAATTTTCGAATAACGGTCCCAAATTAACGAGACCGAAAATATACATTAACAGAGCCTCAGTCACGTGTCAGTTGCGCACTTCCGAGGACTATACCACCACTCACGAATTCTGTATTTCCGGGGACTATACCGCCACCGCTGAGTTTATCCCCACAGGCCGCTCACGCTACGTGGATTGGGGCTAAACTAGATGGCTGGGACTCACGAGCAAATAAAATAAAGGAAGCTGCAGGAGATGCGGTAGCTGCTGCTCGTGAGTCCCAGGCATCTAGTTTAGCCCCAATCCACGCCGCGTGAGCGGCGTTTCGGATACACTCAGCGGTGGCGGAAGTGCGCAATTTAAGTCGCAATTGACACGTGACTGAGGCTCTGTTAGGGTATATTTTCGGCCTCGATAATTTGGAACCGTTATTCGGAAGATAGCCGCTTGATGTATTCTTATTACCATTGTCTTTTCTAAAGGAATGTGTGTGTGTGTATCGCTCCTTAATCATGTGTTCAGATCTGTAATGGTGATTTAGTCATATTAACTACAGTTGTCACACCGACTGGCTACAGTATATATATATATCAGGAAATTTTCCTTAAAGGTAAAGATGACCAAGGTGACTTTAACGCACTGAATCCCGCACGGCATACCCATTTGCCTTAATAAATAGAGAGGTAACTCTGTGTTACTGAAAGTCGTAAACATAAAAATGAGCCCTTTATTTCATTTAGTATCCATTTCATTATTTATGGGGTTTTTTAAAAAGTGATTCGGGTAATTTCACTTAACTACAATGGTGTTATTTATTTTGTAAAACTGGTGTTCACACACACACACACACACACACACACACACACACACACACACACACACACACACACACACACACACCAAAAACGCATAAACACCACAAACACGTATTTTCCCAAATCATCTTCAAATATTAGATTTAACTATGGAAGGAGATCCCGGGAACACTTTTACTGTTACTGGTAGTATCTCAAGTGCATTTAAATAATAATGCAAAAATATCACACGCATTTAGCACCAAGCAATACAAAAAAAAAAAAAAAAAAAAAATCATAGTACCCGTAATTAGTTCTAAAAATAATTTGGGGACTTTTGTCAAAAAGTTATATCATTAAAACGAAATGAGACTGTTGGATGGTTAATTAAAATCAGGCAAACAATAAAAAAGCATGATGATCTTTTTTCTAAAAAAAAATATTAAGCGAAACAAAGCTTAATCGATGCATCAATAATCTGCTTATTTCTCCCTGCGATTTGCTGCTATCTTAAGGTTTACCATGCCATTTTAAGGTTACAAATATCCGGTCTTGCCAGATACTCAAAGTGGAAAGGGGGGAGGGGTTGTTAGTTGTCTTGCCATATACTCAAGGAGGATTATAAGGAGGGGCGTGGGAGTCTTGCCATATACTCAAGTGGGGTGTGAGTCTCGCCATATACTTCAGGGAGCGCGGAGTCTCGCCATATACTCAGGGGAGGGGCGACATGAAACAGACTGGATAAAACTGTTGTTCTAGGACGTCAAGCCTTGTGTCACTATATTTTTCAGTGCGCCGCTAGCCCCCCCCCCCTCTTCTCCCTCCCCCTCCACCCCTCCCCTCCCGTCTAACAGATGATAACAAAGCCAGGGCTCGCTTCGTTTGCTTTCATGTTGTGAAGTCTTGGGCTGTCAGTGACTTCTAAATCTGTCTTTCTCAGAGTCTCCCTCTGTATCTCGATGTTTTCCCATTTTATGGTGAACACTATCGATACCTGCGTCATTGAATGCAGTACAACGTATTTAGTCTTTGTCTGAAATGAATTTAACTATAACGTTTTACTCCAGTAGTTCTTATAAGATCGTTATTTCTTGCACCCTCTTTTTTTTTTTTTGGTTTCGTTTACAACCTGTATTCTTCTTCTTTTTACCCTTCACCGACTGTAAACTCCGGCAAAAAAGTTCTGGTTGTTTGTCCACCTCTTGACTTCACAGTCTTTTTCAAGGTGCGTGCACATTAGTTTAGCAGATCTGACTTAATTTAATGCAGACTGTTGGTCCCTGGCTTCTCATGCAGTTTCACTCCGACTTGGAAAGAAACCTAAATTAGTCGAATCTTACCACATGCTTGTTTGGGAGGCTGTGGGTCTTTCTTGTTTTCACCACAATAGGGCACAAGAACCCACACGGGATATAGTCTGTATATTATACATGCGGGCAGTTTCCGTTTGTCCAGACGAAAGTGCTATTCTGTGCTATGAGGAGGCAAGGGGGTCACAGCCTATGGCGATGGCGAGTGAAACAAGCAAGACCTGCCCGTGTTAAGAGCTTTAAACACACCAGCTTGATTTATTGCTTACCCAAAATTTGTTTTGAGCAGCATCATTCTTTATTAGACTAAGCATTTACCAGGTATAGTCCGTCTTAAGTCTTTTAACGCGTCCGTTTCGATTTATGTACGCAACAACACTTAACGATCAGCCTGCTATTGGACTTATCTATTGTTCTTACTCGTAAGATGAATTTATCAGTTATTATATTATCAAAACCTTCGTAGTCTGTGTTAGTCATCTAAAAGTATTTTGTGTCCCTGACTCAAATGAAGGAGATACTTACCACAGTGTAAAATGTTGGGTAAGTTTTTAACGAAACAACACGAAATCAGCACATGTGTTTGTATGAAGCACGATTACATAATGTGTAAGAAAAATCATCCAAAATATTGAATGTTCTGAACATTTCTGACCCACTGCGGCCATCAACTATTATATTACGAGAACCTTCCTTGACATCAACTCCAACTAGCTGGGGGTTGCGGGGTACCTTTCAGTTTGGGTGTGAGGAGGGAGGTGGGTTGTGAGAGGGTAGACACATAGCAGTTCAACAAGCAATTCCCAAAAAAGGCGACTGGTTCAGTGTATGCTAAAATCAGATACTCTAGGCGGAAGGTTTAGATAGATATCGCAGCATAAATGTAAACCACAACACTACTTTCTAGCTGGCGTCGTTAAAAGCTGGCGTCGAAGAAGTAGAAGAAGAAGAAGAAAAAAAAAGACGAAAAAGAAGACACTCAATAATTTTTACAAACTCTAGCTGGTGTTAATTAAACTCCCTATCCCCCCCCCCCCCCCCCCTCCTTTTTTTCCCCTTCCGTTATTCTTTGCATCCTCCCTTTCCCATCTTTTCCAGTCTGAGACTGTAAATGAGAAACTTCCATTGCTACGGTTTTTACTCGCTTACAAATTTTCAGAATCTAAGGCAGTCAATATGTTTCTTTTTTTCAATGCAAGCTTTGTTTGATATACACACTGAAACCATTAGATTTCTAAACATTTCAGCTTACATGCACACCATTTTGAATATTATTTTATGCGCATTGTAACTCTGTTTCTTACACCGTTTGCTGATTTGTTCAACTTTTTTATCATACGTATAATGACTCGTTTAAATGTTAGCTTATTATGTAAATATTTAAACTGACTTGTTCAATTATCTTAAATTTATCGCCCTGACATTTGTAATCATTGTTAAAGAACTGTTTCACAAATGCTTAGTTTGTTTGTTTCATTTACTTAACTTCTCATTTAACATGTGTTTTGTCTTAGCGTTGATAACTATAACCGTTAGTAAATTTAGTCTAGAAAACATCTGTAAGTCTAACAGTTGCTCCATTTCCTATTCTACATGTCTACTATCTCCTAAGGCTTAAAATTTATTAATTTCAATAATGCAGGGTAAATGACTGAAGAGTTTGAATCTTACATAGTGCAAATTGCCATTAGTGCATCGTAAAAATCTTATCATATGAAGCCAGTGGAATGCACACAAAGAAAATTGTCAGACTACTCGTGGGCGAGGGGTTCGGCACCTTACACATTTTTAGGGATAACTTAGAGGTGTGATCAAGAGGTCTTATAAATTTTCATATAAAAAAATGTGATTAGTAAACATGGAAGGGGAATAACACTTACACATTTTATGAGGGGGGGGGGGGTGGGTCACTCATTCCTTTTTCTAAAATGTTTCTGGAAAAAGGGTAGGGGGAGAAGGTTCATGATATCCAAAGCCTCAGTCTCTGGTGTCGGTGTCACAAGCTAACAACCTAGTAGATTCCACGGACTGTGGACAATGTTGTCGGCATGAAATCCCTCGGGGTCGCAGCATAGCAGCAGGTTGTACCATTATCTGCCAGCCTGATAATGTTGAATTCGAATTCACATCGAGTCAGAAATTTCTAATTGACCAGGCTCCAAGTCTGCCTAGTCTAATGTGGTTACCACGGTAATGTCTGTCAATATAAAGTTGACCGTTGATATTAGTGGAACCACAACATTATTTAATTGAATGACACATGAAATTCGAAACCTGAATAATCTTAATGCTTTTGTTGACTCTGTTGGTCCGAAGGTCTTAAGTTTGAATCAGCATCGTCAAATTTTTTTTTTCGTCCTCTAATAATGACCTTTACTCGGAGTTCGATCCAGAAAAACATTAGGGCTGTGCTTCGTTCTAAAATGTCCTGTAAAGGATACGCAACTATCTTTTAACCAGGTACAAAGTTCCGGGAAATAAATGCGGCCAGTGGGGCCCTAGCTTTATCACTCATCTAGAGCCGATATTTCTCTAACAAAAAAGATGCTAGTATCAGTTTGCTGAGATGCACGTAGTAATTGGTTCTTTACTTTTTTTTT